GTGACTGTCGGATCCACCCACCCACCTTTGTAGATTCCCAGGAATAAATCTATGCTGACACCTCTGCTTGAGCCTCATTTACAGCCAGCATGGGGCTCCTGGGGACTGGTGGGATCCAAGAAAGCGGGGTGAGTGGGGGGGCAGGGTGATGTCTCTGAACCCAAAACCCTGACTGCCTTTCTGGCTGATCACGGGGCACCTAGGCTCTTAATGGGTTCTCCCAGATCCCAAGTAAAAACTTTCTCCTGTGGGCAGTAGGGAGCCCTAGGACATGTTTGAGCAGGAGAGAGAACAGGATTAAGAATGGATTTAAGGAGCAAGACTGAGACACTTATTTAGCGAGAAGCAACCATAGGGGTAGATGCCTTCATCTGTCCTGGGAATGTCCCCCCAAGACTGGAGTCCCCAGCTCAGAACAAAGGGAAAGGGTACAGTTTCCACCCTGGCAGGCTCTCAGAAATTTTTAGTTCCTTTTTCTGCCAACTTCCCACCCCTGTTTCTCCCCCTTCCGGTTGGTTCCCTCTGTGACTCTTCCCGTACCTTCAGAGGCATAGGATTTCAAGCCAGGCCGCTTGGGCTCAAGTCCTGGCCCTGCTGCGTGATTTGAGCAGGTTAATTCCTCTCTCTGTGACTCGGTTCCCTCAACCATATCATGGGGACAACAGTATTGCCTACATCCGGGTTTCCTGAGGTCTCAATATAAGGGACTCAGAACTGTGCCTGGCACACAATGAATGCTAAATATATGGGGCCATTATTATTTCCTCTCTCAGAAAGTCTGGCCGTTAAGGAATGTCGTCTTTCAAGATTGCTATTTCTACCATGACTTTAAAGGCTGTGTTTTGGAACTCAAAGGCAAAAATTCTAATATTGTGCTCTGTGAACAATCTCTTCTCCCTAAAGGGTTGTGTATATAAGAGGTATTTTTTTTTTCTGAGGGTGGTGAAGGCACCTGACTATGTGGGTGGTAGGAGAATGAGAGAAACCTCAGTTAGTGTCTCAGAATAATATCCTGCTGCAAACACTGATCTCTTTTCATAGCCTAAGGGATGTTACATCATGAACCCTGTTGACTTCTCTAATCTCTTCTCTAGCTAATCTCCTTCCCTTTCTACACTCAGTTACTCTGGCCTTGATTCTGATCTCCAAATATATTATTTTTTCTCATTTGGGGCCACTGTATTGCCTTTGCATCTTTATCATATATAAGTTGACTATATTTGTGTGGATCTATTTTGGGGGCTTTTAATTCTGTTCCGTTGACCTATTTGTCTTTTCTTTCACCAATGCAACAACACCTTGGTTACTGTAGCTTCACAGTAAGTCTTGACGTTGGATATTGTCTGTCCTCCAACTGTGTTCTACTGCTTCAAACGTTGTGTTGGCTATTCTGAGTCACTTGTCTCTCTATATAAATTTTAGAATTCGATTGCTGATATCCATTAAAAAAAACTTTCTGATATTGTCATTGTGATTTTATTGAATCTATAGATTTAGTTGGGAAGAACTGACACCCTGACAATATTGAGTTTTTTGTCTTACAAGACATGCTGAAGGGAGTCCTGCATCTGGAAGTGAAAAGAGGACGATTACCATCATGAAAACATGCAAAAGTATAAAATCCACTGGCAAAGCAGATACACTTATAAGAAAATAATCAAATCTTGTTACTATAGAAAACCACCAAACCACAATCAGAAACAATAAGAGAGGAAGAAAGGAATAAAAGATATACAAAATAACTAGAAAACAATTAATAAAATGACAGAAGCATGTTCTTTTGCATAATAACTTTCAATGTAAATAGATTAAACCCTTCACTTAGAATATATAGACTGGCTGAATGGGTTTTTTAAGTGACCCAACTATGTGCTTCCTACAAGAAACTCACTTTACCTGTCAAGAAACATATAGACTTAAAGTGAAGAGACGGAAGAAGGCATTCTACCCAAGTGGAAACCAAAAGCAAATAGGGAGTAGCTACATCTATATCAGATAAAAATAACACAGACACGGGTAACTTCAGCAAGAGCATATAACAATAGGAAACATATATGCACTTAGGTATATAAAACAAATATTATTAGATCTAAAAGGAGAGATAGACTCCCATACAATAGTAGTTGTGGACTTCAATAACCCACTCTCAACACTGGACAGGTCAACTAGACGGAAAGTCAACAAAGATACATTGTATTTAAATTTCACTTTAGACCAAAGAGACTTAACAGACATTGACAGAATAGTTCATTGCAACAGCTGCAGACTACACATTTTTTTCATTAGCACATGGAAAAATCTGGATACACCGAACATTGGGCTACAAAGCAAGTCTCAACAAATTTGAAGGTACTGAAATCACATCAAGTATACTTTCTGATGGCAAGGAAATAAAGATTGAAATCAATAACAAAAATTACTTTCAAAATCATACAAATACATGAAACTTAACATGCTCTTGCACAACAAATGGATTAATAAAAAATTAGGAAGGGCATTTAAAATTTCTTGAATCAAATGAAAGTTTAAATGCAATATATTAAAAGCTATGGAATACAGCAAAAGCAGTATTAAGAAGGAAGTTTATAGGAATAAACACCTACATCAAAAAAAGTAGAAAGATTTCACATAACCTAATGATGCACCTCTAGGGACTAGAAAAGCAAAAGCAAACGAAACTCAATAGAAAAAATGAAATAATAAAGGTTTGAGAAAAAATAAATTGAAAGTAAAAATAAAATACAAAAGATCAATAAAACGACGAGTTGGGCTTCTAATAAACTTAAACAAGATCAACAAACATTTGGCTAGACCAAGGAAGGAAAAAAAGGCTCGGCCGGGCGTGGTGACTCACGCCTGTAACACAAGCACTTTAGATGCCAAGGCGGGCGGAACACCTGAGGTCGAGAGTTCAAGACCAGCCTGACCAACATGGTGAAACCCCGTCTTTAAAAAAAAAAAAAAAAAAAAAAAAAAAAAAAAAAAGGAAGAAAAAGAAAAAAAAAAGACTCAAATAAATGAAATCAGAATTGGAAGAGGAGACATGACAAGTGATACCACAGAAATACAAAGAATCATAATTACCACAGTTACATCTAGAAGGAGGATGTGAGATTTTTTTTTAATTCTAAGTTAACTGGAAACCTGGTGCAAGGCAGATGGCTGGGAGCCGTCCAGGGAGTATCCAAGACCTTACACAGAAAATCATGCTCAGAGAGGAAGCTTGTTGCCCACTCCCTTTTGTGCCCAGCTGCCTGGGTTCCCTTCTCCACTGTGTTATTTCATAATAAGCTCCCTGTGCTGAGCCAGGAAGACAAATGTGTGAGCTTTGAAGGGTGCAGTTTCCTTTTGAGGAATGGAGAACATCCGTGCAAAGTTGGGGCAGCTCAGAGCAGAGTGAGCTGCAGACTGTGCTGCAGGTGTGGGGCTGGAAGGCTTCGCTCAACCTCAAAGTCCTGGGACCCAAACTTTTACTCAGACCACGGAGCAGGTGAGGCAAGAGTTGGGCAAGGTAGATCTTTAATCCACCTCATAGACTGGAGTGTGGGCTTATGGCGTTTTTCCTTTCACCCAGTTAGCCTCCACTCTCATTTACCTCTGTGCAGAAGGCTCAGCTAGGTGTGTCAACCATTGTAAATCCTCCACATAAATTATAGGTTAACTGGAATACAGAGACCAGGCAGGAGGAGGAGAGGAAAGGTAGAGATACTTATCTCTTCTCCCTTATCAGAAGGAAACGTGGCATAAGAAAGTTCATGTTTAAGGGGCCAAAGAGTAAATCAGAAAACTGCAGGGGTGATGGTATGCCCATGGTGCTGGTGGGGAATTCCCTGCCCTGGGGCCTCCCTTGAATTAATTTCTCCCCAGGACAATGGGAAATAACATTTAATCTCTGGAGGTTGCTTTGTACTGAGTAAGTCACTGGCCGTGTAGCATCTGGAGTGATTGAAGTGACCCAAGAACCCCAGTTCCCATGTCACAAATGAGGATCCCACATATCTGGGGCAGAGATGAAAAAGACACATGGCCAGATGGTTGGGGTAGCCTGACTGCTGTGGGGAAGGGATATGATGCAGAAGGAATCGTTTCCCCCTTTATCCCCAGCTTTGGAGGAACCTCGTGTGCTTCATCAGCTGAAGTTGGAGCAAGATTCAATGATGAGTGCCCCCTAACAAACAGCTCATTGTGAACATGCTGAGAATACCAGGGGCTGCTGGGGGCAGGGTGGCCTGGTGGTAAGAACTCAGGCTCTGGGGTCAGGCACAGCTGGTTCACGTCTTGGCTCTGCATTTTCCAAGATGCACACCTCTGGGTGAGAGCCTTAATCTCACCAAACCTCAGCTGTACCATGTTCACAATATCCCACCTCTGAGGCTACTGTAGGCAGTCAATGAGATGACACGGATAGTCCCAAGAGGTGGCACATGGTCACTTCTAGGAGAAAGGACATCAGGTGTGTGTAGAATGTAGTGTGGGCTTGGGGTGGGAAGTGAGAGAATGGTGAAAGAAGATGAAGGGAGGTGAGGGGAACTTCCAGAAATGAAGGAAGCGACTCTTGTTACAAGAACAGCTGACAGGTTATATTAGCCGGGGTTCTCTAGAGGGACAGAACAGGATATGTGTACATATAAAGGGGAGTTTATTAAGGGGCATTAACTCACACAATCATACGGTCCCACAATAGGCTGTCTGCAAGCCAAGGAG